GGTTGCCGCCGCAGCCGTGCGCCTCGGTCTGCTCCGCCTGCTTTACGTAAGCGGTGGCGTGACGCGCCGCCCGCCGCAGGCCTCCCCCCTCCCTGTACGCTCGCGGTGACGCCACAGCTACAGCCACAGCCGTACGCAACACTCTTCCTCTCGCGACCTCGCACTTCATTCACGTGCCACGGGCCTTCGTTCTTGTTTGCTTTGGGGACATGCAGTATCTTCGTGGCGTCGTTTCACAAGTGACGTAAGCTGAAGGTTATTGCTCATGTAGCACCAACAGTCCATTCTTCCTATTTAGCACCTAGGCCGGTAATTCGAATCTTATTATTGCGTGTTAGTATTCGTATGCATGGTGTTCTTTGTTCGAACCATCCACATTATAGGGCGACTAAATAAGATGACCACACTCAGAAAACAGTATCTCTATCGAATCAAACTTTCTGGAAACATGAAAGTAGTCATAAAATGAAAACTCTTTCTACCAAACAAAAGTGTTTGCAAATGAACACATTAAAATTACTTGCGACAACAATCAACTGTCATTCAATGTAAGCATGGCCATTATTTCCGGTAACGGTTATTGATGTAGCCAAGTTGTAGCTGTCACTGTCATGGCGAGCCCAGCACTCGTTCTCGCTATTTTAAATAAATTAAATGCATTGGCAAAATTACTTTAAGGCCTGAAAAAATAACTCCCAACGTCTTTTCAAATACTCTGTAAATAAATCATGTCATTTGTATTTCCTCTCAATTATATTTGGATGTTTTCCCATTTTGAGTGACTTGAAAACTGAACCTAGCGTATAGGAATTTTTTGAAAAACGACAAATGGTTGTTTCAAAGAACGAGCATTGCCGTTTAACTAAAAGCACTTTTACTTCAGAGGTTACCAAACATATTCAAGTTGTGAAGACTTGAGGAACTCGTACAGAATGTTCACGTGTATTTTATTATTCTTATTCTTACTCTCATTCTCATCATTCTCATTATTATTATTATTATTATTATTATTATTATTATTATTATTATTATTATTCAAATAAATTGTTTAATTGGTTTTATACTGCCCCTTGTTAGCCTTTTAAATAGGATATACCCACTACCAATAGTCTGAATACAACACATACTGCTCTTAGATCATGCCAAAGAAGCTATAAGAATAAGTTCAGGGTATTATATATTCTTTTATTTTACGAGATAGGAGTGAATGTTTGTAGAATATAGTGAAATTAAATGTTAAATACACACGGTACAATTTACTTCTATGATATGACAAGTAGTTACAGGGTAAGAAAATAATACTTTGTTTCAATCTGAAAGTGGGGTTTAATTATTTGCAATTGTAAACAATGTTTAATTCTGTAAAATATGAGTCAGAACTTTCCGAATGTGCTCGCAATATCATGTCACTATTGTTATTGCAATTACTAGTATATGCGAATTATCATCACTGAATTGAGTGGATTAGCAGCGGACATAGACCTAATTATCTTGAGGGCCAAAATACATATTTCCTCGATATAAAAAGACTACATTTTCTTCTGTGTTGGTATAAGTGATTCTTCTTTTCGTGAACTTCTTCACGAAAGTGTAATAGAAAATATTGTCTCGGTTTTGAGATCTACTAATTGTAGTGTTTATTTATGAATTTATCGTATGCATTTAATTCGCTAGAATTGCAAATTGTCAAGTGCTCTCTCTGCATATCGAGTCTAAATTTCTCACATGTACGTTTTACACACGGTACAGTATTTAAAAATTGCATGTAAGTATTTAAGGATGGGAAAGTGTTATATAATCAATACGTGGAATGTTTTCACTAGTTATGCATTAATAAGTTTCTCATAATACGTGTGTTAATGTTCGCATAAGACGTCAGTCATCCTGTTTGTTGATTTTTTTTCAACCGTTTACCTTCTCTACTTACTACATACTTATGTAGCAAACTGAATGTATTTTAATGATACGGCAAATTTCCGCGATTTTGCGACAGAATATATCGTATTGTGCGACTGTATGCAATGTTTAAATTTTTGAAGCCGCGGGAAAGATGAATTTCTCACAGAGGGTAGTGATGTAGACGTAACGTGACTTGAATGTTAACTCAATTTCCTGATTTCAAAGCTCTGCGCGGAGAAAATATTGGTTGGAAACTTGCTTGCAGATTTAAGAAGTATTCTAATTGCGTAACCCTTACAGATAATGCAAGAAAGTATGTGCTCTCGTTGCGCCACCAATTTACTTTCTCGCATTATTACACTTGAAGTAAAGAGAATTTATTACAATGCCGGAACAAAAATCAGCAATTCTTTGACAGAAAAACTCGTATTGGAACCCCCCGTAACAAAAAAGTGCAGAAATCTTATTCCTAAGTGTAGTTAATTACTTCCTCTAAAACGTTGTATGGTCAGATTCCGTGTTTTGTGGGTCCTTGATACTGAAAAGCTGAATGACGGCAAACGTCTGTTCATCCGTCCATCCTCTTCTGCCAGTGGTCCAGAAACCGTTAAAGCGATTTTCTCAAAAATTTATATTCCTCGAGCGATTTAGAAGAACTCAATTCTTTCAGATTTTGAAACGGATATTTTGATTTTTGGGGGTATTAAACATATAGCCTAAACAACATTTGAAACAAAATCTTTAAATGTCTCAAATGTTTGCTTTCTTGCATTTACGAATGTAAGAAAAGAAAGTATTGTAATAGTACGCGCGCCGAAAAACAGAGAATTTTCAAAAGAAAAGCTCGAATTGACAAGCCCTGGTTACGTTAAGTGGATAAATCGAGTTCCTACATACAGCAAATTACTTACTTTAACATCTTATGACTTTGGAAGTTTAATACATATATTTTGAATTTTGAAGGTACTGTAAATAAAGTCTGAAAAACATTTTCAAAGTTATCTCAAAAAAGCTCCAATTTTGTCCTCGAATAACGTAAAGGATGCTTAAGAGAATGGTGCAGGGCTCATGTTCGTTGAAACTCCTGATTTTTACAAAATTGCAAAAGTGTGATTTCTTGGGCGTCTTCCTACAACTCTTAGACGGTTTTTGAATCAAATCGACCAGATCTTGAAATAAAGACATGTTCAATTGTTCGAAAACAGTATTCTTGTAATTTTGCGCGAAATGTAGACAGTTAAACATTTTTAAACATTTTGTTCTCAGAAAACACTCCAAATTGTTTCTTTAAATTTCTCCTCGTATGTATCAAGGACGGGTAAAAAATATTGTGCTTATCGCATTTTCGATGAACTCTTAGTATTTTAAATAATATTCATTATTGTTGTATTCATCAGATATTTTAATAATACTATTTTAATAATATTTCATAAATTTTAATATATCTTTAAATAAGGTTATGTAATATTTTTCGGCAATTAGAGTAGTTTTCACGTAATTTTCCTTGGAATATAAGTACATTTAAACAATTATTTTCTCAAAACTGGCTACAAATATTTTCTCTCGGATAGTACAAATAACACTTACAAAATTGGTGTAGATTCCATTTTCGGCAAAAACTATATTTTCGAAAATTGCAAATATTCTACATTATATACTGTATACATTATTACAATAGGAATGATGGAGATTTTGTCCTTAATGAAATATAGTCTTTAAAATTAGACATAATTTAATAAAATTAGACATAATTTAATCATAATAATGTACAACGGATATTATTTAGGAAACAGAACTCTGTCTTCAATATTTTAGTAGTAGTGAGAAGGCGAAAAAATGTCGAACTTTTGCAGTTTACGAAAATTCTGAGATTGAAACAGAAATTAGACTTACGCCATGTTGTAATCGTCCTTTACGCTATCCGAGGAAAAAGTCTACCAAAAAATTTGGAGCCTTTTTTACAGAAAAGTTTGAAAATGTTGAGGTTTCATGCAACGTATCCCCAAAGTCAAAGTATCCGTTTCAAACTCACTGTGCTCGAGTTTGTTTGAAAAATATCAACAAAATTGTTTGGATTGTTCAGACGCTAGCTACATCCATAGACCACAGAAACACATACCGGCAAACAGACGTTTTGCCGTCCATCGATGTTTTGGTATGACGACCCCACAAAATGTGGATGCTGACTACACAACGTGTTGTAGATTTTAGTTAACTACACATAGGAACAAGATTTGTCCACTTTTTCTGTATCAGTGCCCAACAATAAAGATTTTCTGACGAAAAATCACCGAATTCGGCCGCATTTCTATAATACTTTCCCTTTACTACCTAAACGAGGCAAGGTAATAAAGTAAAAAAGAACGGAAGCGGCATATGGTCTTGGTGGAGAAAATAACATTTATATTACACCAGATCGTCCCGTTTTTCATCATTTAATAGACAGTTCGGACGATGTGGTGTATCTTGCGTTCCAAATAATTTAAAATATTTTGAATATACCGATGATATTTCCTTTATTCGCTTTTTACGTCATATGATTCTTTACATAATAGTAGGGAATGGATTTTCATGGAATTACGTGTTAGAGAGACATGATACCTCCATTCAATTGTATTTCTTAGAGTCTACAAATGAATAAACTTTACTGAATGAATTAGAGCCATTTTAATTTTACATATTTGTACATATTTTGGCATAATTACATATTGTTACATACTTTACCGATTACTGAATATGTATTGCATGTTTTGTTTTACATTTTAATACATTTGTACGTCGAAACCGAACATTGCAGACGCGCGTTTGCAATATATTATGGAATTATCTTTCTTACAATTAAATTGTTATTCTACTGCTCATCAATAACCAACTTATCTACGCCACGAATTTTCAAACTTACCGCCCCCTGCTTCCTGGAAACTGGGAACTCGGAGTCAAGGATGAGTGCATGTTTGAGAAACAGACGTAATTGCAACCACGTGCTTCCACATAAACAGCACATTCGTAACTCGATCGAAAACTAACAAATATTTTTACAGATCATTGTCTTAACAAATTGTTCGATTTCAGGGTTGGGATGTTCTCTTTAACGCCCGCCTCACACCACGATGAATCATTGGCTACACGGTACTAATATTCATTTGAGAACTGGCTCCTCAAAAGCAACATGGTGTATACAACGAAATTATTATATTTTTTTAAAATAAAACTCGCCTTTGGTGAAGATTAGTGTACAATTACTTCTGTAGAGGAAAAACTTTTAGCAGCGCCGAATACATGGTAAGATCTGATAGGATACGTTCTTTGCTCGGAAAATGATTGTATAGAGCAATTTCAAACAATAAACTGAAATTTTATTTCACTTATTTTCTACTTTTTCATATATTTTGGATATTCATTCTTTCATTTGGATCATATATTTTACATACTTTGATTTTTATTGCAATAAGTTCCGTTACCTATTAATCAAAATAAAGCTTCATTCTAATAGTTTTAGGAAGTACTCTATTAGTGCATTTAGGCATATTTTGTTCGTTCGGATATTGATTCACTACAGATTCAACCCATGTCACGGCAGAAGAAATTTTATTCTTTTGTTTAATTATCTTATTAATATAAAACTAATAATCAGTAATATTTGACAACTGGGTCTTAAGATCCCAAACTCAAATAATTGTAATATCTAAATCTAAAATATATTATAAAGCTTGCGCCCAACAGTTTCTTCAACAAAAATGTCGATTAAAAAACGAACCGCTGGCACTTAGAACTTATCTTGGCACTAGATTACTCCACGGATCGTTCTCCTTAGAAGGCAACCCCCGTTCCATTCACCTCCGTCGCGGCGGGGCGCCAGCACCCATTCCTCCACCGTCCGTTCCACCTTAAATCAGCTCCACACATACAACCTTCGGCGAATCCCGAGTAGTGTGGATTAGTTGCTTGCGATTTGGCGAGGGCCGAACATCTGGTATTCGCCCTACCCACCACGAGTCGGTCTTTAGGACACATCAAACGGAGCAACCATTCGCCAAACACATCAACTGTTCGGAATTGCACGAGCTGCTCGACGAATGCCGGGTGTGTGGAGCCGCCTTTATGATGGGTCTGCAGAGGAGCAAATCATAGCGCTGGTTTAACGTACGGGTCCCTCCGCTTAGACGGCCAGCGGTGGTATAGCACGTACATGCTTGTGGCAGCATCGAGAAAGATTGGTTGTTAGTGATTTCGGGCGTGTCAACTGATACGGTCAATTCTCCCGTAAGTGTAGTGGATGTTTCTCTCTTGAGGCGGCGGTGATCTTCTCCCACTGGATGGCGAGATTCGGCGACGACCTACCGTCGGCTGGCGGGCTTTTCCTCAACCAGGTATCTCCCACCAGCGAGGCACCTCTCCAACCGGGACTGGCTCCAAGATCCCGACCGGTCTCGGGAGACCATTTCGGGTAGTGTAGTGCATGTAATGTGAGTGTATGTAATTAAGGGGTGAGAATAGAACAATGTAGAGGAAAGAAAGATTGCGCGCGGTCAGTGGCCCTTTTGTTCAGGTAATGCTCCGGTATTCGCCTGGTGTGGATCGGAGAAACCACGGAAAACTATCGATCAGAGCAGCCACCTGCTAGAATTCTCCTCGAGACAGCGACTGAATTCGACCTAGCTGACAAGCTAGCGTCGAAAATCCTGCTAGCATCGGGATTCGAGCCTAGGTCCCGCTCAAAGGGACTGCAATTACATCAGTTGAGGCCCTGAGCCACCAGCACCGAGAAAGGGGGAAGTTGGAAGGCGCTCTGGCATAGGACTACAGCATGTGTCTACCAAAGCCCAGGACGCCGATTTGGTGAACCAGGCTAAAGAAAACACCATTCTGCAGTTCGGTCCGGTTGAGAGTACCATCACTTTCCCTGGTTGTTCGTGAACGGCCAGGAACCGCTTGGGGCGCGGAACGGTCAGGGCAGCGCTTGATGAGAAGCTCTCATGAGAAAATGGCCCAGGGGTTCTCAATAGGGTCGACCTCCTGGGGCCAATGCAATTTTGGAAAAAGACAATGAAGATCAAGGGGTCGATTGGGGGTCTATAGGTGAATATGAACGGGCGATTGATAGGTACAATCAAGAACCCTTTAATTTAAAAAATATGAAAGGAACTGGATAATTAATTGTATTTCTGATATAGAGTAATAAAATGTGTTAAAATGAATTACAAATCCGCTTTCGTATCCGTCGTTCATCCTTACGATCAGGGACGTAGGTTGATGCAACTGGTGCACACTACAGTTCCTCAGCAGGAAGAGACCCTTAACAAGAGACCCTTTGGTCGGGTATCGAAAAATAATAAAACAAATTGCACTCCATGCTTGTTTTCTCTATTGCACCAGTCGTGTGTATCAATTAGATTTAAAGCTTCTAATTTCACATTTAATGCAGATAGGGACCCCATTTCAACTTTCTACACCGTGAATTTGAGAAATTTAATTAGGTTTCTGTTTAGGATGTTTAGAGAACTCAACAAAGTATTACAGATTGGGTGTGTATTCATAACGATATACAGATGTGTATTCATAACGATATTCTATTGTGGAAAAATACCCTTTCCAATAAACACAGGAGAAATGTTACAGCCAGTTACAAAAAGGTTCAACGTCTTGTAACCATAGCACAACAATAATAAAATAAAGATTAGAAACTCAGCTACTCAGAAGCGAAAGTATTCGAATAATGAAAATCGAGATATTTACCACAATATTGATGTTCGAAAATTTCGATCAAAGGTACGAAATCTTTAAGAAATGTATGAGCAATTATTTGTTTTATGAATATATTCAAACTGCCAGAAAATTATCAATAATAATACATTATTATATTATATTAAATAACAATAATCATTTTTCCAATTGTTTCGAAAATGTTACTAAAGTTTATCCCAACCAGATCCAACAAATTCTTAACGAAGTCAAATGCCATATCACTGTACTAATTCGAGTTTAAAATAATTCCACCTCTTTCCGATTACCAAAACTAACAGAAAGCACAGTATGTAGATTCCATAAAAACACACAAAACAGCATTCCTCTTCTTGAGTTATGCGTACGTAGAAGAATGCAAATTACTAATCTCCAAAATGCATCGCACTACCAACATCGTCATAATGCCCGAAATGGGGAAGTGTAGCACCAAAAACTATTAACAAACTAAGTAAAGTCCGAAATAAATCCTCATACAATTAGTAAATTCCGCATGGTTCAATTCCAATAATCAAGGCCGAAGAAAATTAAATATATCAGAAACTACTAAGACTAAACAAAACTGGCCAACAATAAACCAAACTCTCCTTGCTCTTCAGTTTTCAACCCAGGAAAGAAACAACATACTCCTATTCTCGTAAGTTTAACTCCAAAAATCTCACAGCTCTCAGGCATGTCACCCCTCATCTATCACTGCTACCTCCCCACTTAGAACTAAATATATTATTTTTAATAATCAAATACATAAATCACTCCCCACTTAAGGACATAATACTTTAAAAGTTATATACCTTCAAATCCTCGACAAGTAACTTTGCCAAACGTATTTTGAAAGACTGTACCTCGGATCGTACCTTACAGCATACCGCTCTCAAGATCTCCGGTTCACAATTTTTAATTCAAGGTATGTGCACGTAAAAACTTCTCTATGAACAGCACACGAGAAAACTCTTGTATTCAATATTTCCTTTTACGTAGCATTGGAATAGGATGCGGGATAATTTGAATACGCCTAGCAACATTTCTTTTAAGGACATTGCCAATTTTGTATGTTTGTTTACAGTTACGGTTTATGAATCTTAAGCATTTGCAACGAAGGAGTATTGAATACAATCTCGTACTCGGTTATTCAAAGTAAACAAATACGCTAAACAGTAAATGAATAACCAGATAAGAAATGAAGAAATCAGGCGGGAATTGAATGTGAATAGCATAAATAATACAATGAAAATGAACAGGAAGAAGTGGCAGCAGCAGCTTAGAAAGAATGGAAGAAAAAAGACTCAATATTAGCTTACGCTTACAACCCAAGAGGGAGAAAGAGATATGGGAAGACCCAAGAAAAGATGGAAAGATACACTGGAGACGGAAGAGGTGTAAGCCTAACCCATGAAGTGTAGAAGAAGTAAATGAATAATCAAGTAATAGAGAATTAAATAAAATCGATTATACCAATGTAATAGATGTAATGAAACATCTGGTGATCAGTGACGCAATCGAGGGAGGTAGTTGGCGAGGATTCGTTCCTCTAGAAGCCAAAGATATCAAAAATCTGCTTTTACAAATTGTAACTTTCTCGCCTTACTTCGTAAGAAGAAAAAGTGTTTAATCATGCAATTAATGCAATCATGCAAATGCTGATTTTTCGACAGAAGAACTCTTATTTCCGGGCCTTCGTAACGAAAAGTGGATGCATCTCATTGCTCTATTTAGTAAATTACGCGCCGTTCAAATGATTTTCTCCAAAATTAATATCCCGGATCAATTTGGCCGAAAACTTGCAAATTTGAAATGTTTATTATGATTTTAGAGGGAACTTTATTTATCCTGCGAGTCTATTACATTTTAACAAATTTCTCAAAAATGGTTCCAAATTTTTTTACTAAAGTTTGTCCTCGGATAGCGCAGAAAACTCTTAAAAGAATGACATTGGTGTCAGTTTTGTTAAAATATTACTTTTTCGAAAATCACAAAAAGTTCAAAAAAATATCTGACAAGTAGCATGTTATACAATTTTTTTAAAAGAATTATGTACATTTTTTTATACTAGTAGATTTCGCATAATTTCTTCTTGATGACAAATTAAGTTTTAAAACAATTATCTTCTCCAAAATCGCCTCAATGTTCTCCTTGTCGCTGGTCTCATTTCCATTGAAACCTCTACTTTTAAACATAACTGAAAAATTCTTTATAAGAAAATATCAAATCGCTAGACATTATCCCTGCACCTTTCTCAGAGAAAGTTACTGGTTGCGCCTCCTCTAGTAATTAATTACTGTTGAGTGGAATACTAGTATCTATCAGACAATTGGATGAATAGTTCAAAATAAATGAAATTAAAATAAAATATTTCTTTTCAGATGGGAAGATAGAGGAAATTCATATAACTATTTCATTAAATGGAGTAAACAAAAATAGAATTGTACTATATGAATTATAGAATGGAATTTTATTAATATATTTATATTCATATAATTGCATTGCATTCTATACATATCGAATTCAGTGTTCTGGGCTAAGTTTTCACTTCTGATTTACACCATTCTATATTTTTGCATACTCCATAGCGACATGTTGGCAATAAATACCACAAACATTAATTTTTATCTGTTACATAATTATTTTTAGCGAAGTCGGAGATTCTTCTCGCCCTTGTCAGTATTCGAGAGGGCCGGTGGCGCAATTTACTGGTTCTGATTTCAAATGACATACTACGCGGCGCCCGTCGTGTTCCGGTGAGTTGACAGTTGCAGCGAAGCACCGGTGGCGGAAGCCGCCATTAGATACACTTGCACATTTTATCGCGTATCATGGAAATGTACTGCGATGATTACAATTCTGGTTCATATTCCAAATGCGGAACAATATTTCGTACAGTTTATTGGCTGTCGCACTCGTCAGTGTATTTGTGTGTTATCAATATCTGTCCAAAAGTAACCCGAAAAGTGAGATGAAGCTAGTACATGTAAAATATCGTCAAATTTTGTAAATACAACGATTAAAAATGTACGCTTCGAGGGAAAAATTAATTCTTGGAAGCCAAATTTATGAAGCAAAGTGTGAATTTGAAAAATCGTTAAATTTCGACAAAAACTATCCATAAAAGAAGGCGAAATATTTTCCAAAACGTATAAATGATCATAGTTAGAGAACTATCATTGAGGAACTCTATTTTCAATAATGTTTGTGAAGGAAGATGCAGAAAATACACTAAACGATTACAATTTTCGAAAATTCAGAGAGTTCAATGAAAACTAGACCTGCTCCAATTTAGCT